GTTTCCGGCAATGTCACCATCGTCTCACGAGGAGCCTAGCTTCACAAGGAGAGTAATTTGAAGGTGACAGCAGCTGCCAGCACACAGGTAAGTTAAGTTTTTCTTTCACAGGACCATCCCAAGAATTAAATTGTTGCACCTTGTACAAATCTGTTGTTGCAAAGCTAATCAAACTTTAGATTCGTCATTATCATTGTGCGTTGGTATGGGTGAATTTATGATAAAGCCTCCTCATTTCTCTTTTATCCCTCCATAAGCACTTCTCTTCTTTATGTGTTCATTCCTTCCCTACTCCACATCTTATATTTTCCTTTGCTTGCTCTGTCCACTTAATCCATTGTCTCTTTTTCTTTAATTTTCAGTTTAATTAATTTGTAGCTAATATGAGTGAGGTTGGAAATAAAAAGTGAAAAAGGGCTAATTAAAATTGTTTTCATCTCAAACACTTCTCGATCTTGCAGTGTTGTGTGATTTCCAATAACCAAACAAACAGCCATTTTTGAAGATCACTGTGGAAGGTACAGTACTACTTACCCTAAAACATTAGCCAATTGCGCTGTTCAGTGTTCTTTCTCCAGATGTGAGGAAGAAGTGCCAGTTTATACCTGTTCCACTTTTTTCTCCTCTTTTTCTTCAGATTAGCTTTGTAAGTAATCTCCAACCTTCTCCCCTTTAAATATATAAGTAAATAATGTAATTCATTATTGTGCTTCAGGTTTTATGTGCTTTATCAACTGCCAGGGTTAAAATTCTTGGATTCAAAGAGAGTCAGCTCAGAAGAGCGTAAAGAAGCTCAATGTAGAGGGAAGTTTATGAAGATTGTGCGTCCAGAAAGTTCTCCTGTACGTATGTGATATCAGTATTTTAGTGTAAATGTATGTCACTTTTGTGAGCTAAATGAAATTGGATATGCTATATTTACAGGTTCAGAGGTCACTGTTAGAAAATTCGGTATTTCATTTGCATAAATATTTTCAATCACTTTTCATCACATTAAGAAGCTTCATCACATAGAATCCATAACTACTGTCATAAAATAATCTGTTGTTTCTCAAATTGTTTCTTCTCCTCCTCCTCCTGCTTCTTCTTCTTGCAATTTTCCCAGTTTTATTAGCCAGCTTTCCTTTCTTGAGGTATAAAGTATGCTTACAAGCCCATCATGCCCTCTGTGTCTCCCTTTCCACTTCTGAACCAGTTGACTGATTTTCACAAAATTTGATATGAATGAACATTTGATTTAACTTTCTTTTGACAGTGATAATGGTCTAGAAATAAAACAATTTTTTTTATGAAAATGGATTTTAAATGGTCTCAAAAATTATGTCTGACACATTGGAAGTTAACAGTTATTACCAGGGCCCGGATTTTAATGACCTGAAAATATTTAAAAAATGAC